GTGGCATCACACAGCGTTTGTCTTTTTGTGACTGGCTTATGACACCTGGTGTAGTGTCCTCACAGTCCACCCTGCACCTTATGGCAGGATTTCCTTCCTTGTTTTGTTTTCTTTTGTTGTTGTTTATTTATTTTTGAGAGAGAGAGAGAGAGAGAGAGAGAGCATGATCAGGGGAGGGGCAGAGAGAGAGGGGGGCAGAGAATCCCAAGCAGGCCCTGCGCTGTCAGCACAAAGTCTGACACGGGGCTCGAACTCACGAAACCCTGAGGTGATGACCTGAGCCAAAAACGAGTCGGATGCTAACTGACCGAGCCCCCAGGTGCCCCGGGGTGCACCTTCCTTCTTAGGCTAACTCACTTTCCGTTGCGTGGTTAGACCCCGTGTTGCTTCCAGCCTGAAGCTCTGCGGTTCGTGCTGCTGTGGACGTGGGTGTGTGTATCTCTTTGAGATCCTGCTCTCCAGTCAAGACTGGGTGTAGACCCAGGAGTGGAATACTGTGATTCGATTTTTCATTTCTTGAGGAGCCAACACACAGTTTTCCCCAGCAGCCACACCATTTCCCACCAACAGTGCACAGGACTCCAGTCCTGCACGTCCTTGCCAGCACAGCATTGTTTTGTTTTGTTTTTAAATTTTTTTAAATGTTTGTTTATTTTTGAGAGACAGAGCATGAGCGGGGGAGGGGCAGAGAGAGGAGGCAGAATCCAAAGCAGGCTCCAGGCTTGGAGCTGTCAGCACAGAGCCCGACGTGGGGCTCGAACTCACGAACCGTGAGATCATGACCTGAGCCGAAGTCGGACCCTTAACTGGCTGAGCCGCCCGGTCTCCCCTAAAACATTTTAGAACGAGTGTGTGTCTCCCTGCAGAGCTGCCCGGCACCCGCGGACAGCTGTTGAAAGTAGCTTTTCTGAAGTTTATTCCGCTCGACTTGCACCTGCTGCTGTGTGCGGTGTGCATTTCCACCAGTTTCCTCCTCGAGGGGAGGTGAGCAGGTGATTGCCTGGCATAGCCCTGGGCAGACCAGCCTGAGCCTCCATGTTTATCTTGCTCGTGCTCAGTGACTCCGTGTTTACCTTGCTCGCGCTCGGTGATCTTCAGAGTAACCTACCTGCTCGGTTCTCCAGTCGGAGAGGGCTCTGCATATAAACACAGTTTGATTTTTTCTTTCCCAGTCTGTACCTCCAATTTCCTTTTCTTGTTTCGTTGCCTTAGCTAGGACTTCCAATACAGCGTTGAAAAGCAGTGGTGAGAGGGGACATCCGTGTCTTTTTCCTGATGTAAGTGATGTTCAAGCACGTCACCATTAGTTACGATGATAGCTGTAGGGTTTTTGTTGATGCTCTGTATCAGGTTGAGGAAGTTTCTTTCTGTTCCTCCTTTGATGAGTGTTTTTGTCACGAATGGGTGTTGGATATTGCCAAAGGTTTTTTCTGTGTCTGTTAATATGATCATATGATTTTCTGTTTTAGTCTGTTGATGTGTGATGGATTACATTAATTTATTTCTGAATTTGGAATCAGCCTTGCCTACCTTGGATAAATGCCACTTAGTCATTGTGCGTAATTATCTTTATGCTTTGTTGGATTCAATTTGCTAATATTTTATTGAGGATTCTTGCATTTATGTTTATGAGAAATACTGATGTGTAGTTTTTCTTTTCTTGTAGGATCTTTGATTTTTTTTTTTAATTTTTTTTTCCAACGTTTTTTATTTATTTTTGGGACAGAGAGAGACAGAGCATGAACGGGGGAGGGGCAGAGAGAGAGGGAGACACAGAATCAGAAACAGGCTCCAGGCTCCGAGCCATCAGCTCAGAGCCTGACGCGGGGCTCGAACTCACGGACCGTGAGATCGTGACCTGGCTGAAGTCGGACGCTTAACCGACTGTGCCACCCAGGCGCCCCTTAGGATCTTTGATTTTGATACTAGGGTAATGCCACCTCATAGAATGGGTTAGGAAATGTTTTCTCTGGTTTTATTTTCCAGAAGAGATTATAGAGTGTTGGTATCATTTCTTCCTTCAGCGTGTGCTAGGATTCACTTGTGAACGTGTCTGGGGCTGGTGCTTTCTGTTTTGGAAGGTTTTAAATTGAATCAATTACTGTAATAGATCTATTATGCCTATTCAGATTATCCATTTCTCTTTATGTGAATTTTGATAGTTGGGTCTTGCAAAGAATTTCATTGTGATTTGAGAACATACTGTGTGCGGTTTGTAGTCTTTTAAATTTAAGGTGTATTTGATGGCCCAGAATGTGCTGCCCCTTGGTGAATGTTCACGTGAGCTTAAGAAAAATGTGTGCTCTACAGCTGTCCATTGAAGTCGTCTGTAGATACCAGTTATATCCTGTTGATTGAGGGTGTTGAGTTCACCTGTGTCCTCACTGATTTTCTGCCTGCTGAGTCTTTTCATTTTTTGATAAAGAGGGGGTTGAAGCCTCTGGTTACAGTTGTAGATTCATTTATTTCTCCTTGCAGTTCTATTAGTTTTTGCCCTGTGTATTTTGATGCTCTGTTGTTGGGTACGTATATGTTAAGGATTGCCACATCTTCTTAGAGAACTGTTTTCATTATGTAAGGCCCCACTTAAAAAAATTTTTTTTTTTTTTTAGAGAGACTGTGTGCGCACAAACCAGGGAGAGGAGTGGTGGGGGGTAGGGGGTGGGCAGGGAGAGGATCTTAAGGCATGGAGCTTGATCCCATGACCTTGGGATCATGACCTGAGCCAAAATCAAGTGTTGGATGCCCAACCAACTGAGCCACCCAAGGCCCCTCTGTGTTTTACTTTTTTTTTTTTTTTTTTTGAGAGAGCACAAGCTGGGGTGGGGCAGAGAGAGAGGGAGAGAGAAGGAGTGAAGCAGACTCTGTGCTGTCAGCACAGAACCTGATGTGGGGCTTAAACCCATGTACCGTGAGATCATGACTCAAGCTGAAGTTGGTCACTTAACTGACTGAGCTACCCAGAAGCCCCCCCAAGGCCCCTCTTAAATTTTTTTTTTTAATGTTTATTTTTGAGACAGAGATAGAGCAGGGGAGGGGCAGAGAGAGAGGGAGACACAGAATCAGAAGCAGGCTCCAGGCTCCGAGCTGTCAGCACAGAGCCCGACGCGGGGCCTGAACTCACAGACCAGACCGTGAGATCATGACCCTGAGCTGAAGTCGGACACCCAACTGACTGAGCCACCCAGGCACCCCCTAAGGCCCCTCTTTAAAGGGGGTTTCTTGTAGTCAACTTAGAGTTGGATCTTGAATTAAAATTTTATTTTTAGCAAGCTCTGTGTCCAGTTGGGGCTTGAACTCACGACCCCAAGATCAAGAGTTACATGCTCTACCAACGGAGCCAGCCAGGCATTCCTGGGTCTTGAATTTTGTATTGAGTCTGACAGTCTTTGTCTTTTAATCGGTATATGCAAACTGCCACATTTAAAGTGATGATTCAGACACTTGGATTCGTGTCTATCATATTTGTAGCTGTGTATATTCACTGCCCTTGTTCTTTGCTTCTTTTCTCTGTTTTGGTTTTTGGCCTTCGATTCTTTTTCTGCCTTCTCTGATTTTATTTGAACTCTCTGAATACATTCTTTTAACGTCTCTTGCCAGGTAACCATTACATCCCTCCAATTTTGTTTGTTGGAGACAGGTTTTTTTTTTTTCCCCTTTGCTTCAAGGGACAGGCTCAGTGGATACAGAGTTGCAGGTTGATGGTATTCTTTCCACACCTGAGTGTTTCATTCCTCTCCTGTGGGCCTGGTGTCTGGAGAAGTCTGATGTCCTTCCTCGGCCTGTTCCTCAGTAGGGATGTACTGTTCTCCCATGGCTTACTTTAAGTTCTTCTCTTTGTCCTTGATTTTTTTATGGGGTGAATATGAAATGCCGAGGTGTAGGGTTTTTCCTTTTTCTCGCTCCTTTCTTCTCCTTCTGCGTCCTCCTTGGTGTTCCCTGAGCTTTCCGAGTCCGTGGTTTGGTGTGGGGGTCGTTCCGGCGTCAGATATTTCTTCTTCTTTCTCTTCTTCTCCTGGTGGTCCCGCGACATTTATGGTGCACCTCTTGTCATTTTCGTACCGTTTTTTGATATCCTGTCCCATCTTCTTCATGCTTCGGCCTCTTTTTCTGCGTTCTGGCTGACATGCCTCCACGCTCACCGATTCTTCCCGTGGCCGTGTCCAGCCTGCTGACGCATCTGTCAAAGGCGCTCTTTGGTCCTCATCTCTGTTGTGGTGTTTTTGATCGTCCGTGTTTCCCATTGATGTATATTTGGAATTTCTGTGTCTCTGCTTCACATCACCCATGATGAGCGATGTCCACTTTTTCTGTCGGAGCCCTTAGCGTACCAGGCACGCTGCTTTGAGCTCTGGGTCTGGCGGTTCCTGAGAACAGCCCTGGCGCGTCTGCATCTGGCTCTGATGCTTGCCCTGTCCGTTCAAACAGTGTTTCTGCCTCTCAGCGTGCCCTGTGACTTTTTGTTGGAAGCTGGACAGGATGTATCAGGTAGAAGGAACGGAGGTAGACACGCCATGCGTGTGAGGTTGCGTGTTGATCTGGCTGGAGGTCGACGTGTGGGGGCGGGGTGCACTCTCATCCCGTGGCTGGTCTGCCTGCACCCTCCCACAAGCCTGTGCCCCTGTGCTGCCACGGCCACACATGCCTCTCACTTTGCTTCCTCTCCCGGAGAGAAGGCTGGGGGCCGGAGTCGGGGGTTCCCGTCCCTGGTGGTTCCGGTGCTAGGAAGCGAGTTCTCCTTGTGGGAAGGCCCTTGTCATGGAGAACAGAACGCTCTGCTCAGAGTTCTGAGGCGGGGAGTGTGGGAGCGTCTCCTCCACCAACAGGGTTTCCCCAGGAGCTCAGAGTGTGCTTCCTCGTGGGGGCCTCCGCTCCGAGCCGGGCCAGCAGGCCTGGTGGCGGAAGGCGGAGGCCGGGCTGTGCCCTCTGCATACCCATGCCGGCTGATCTTCCCTTCCTTTCCCTTCCTCACAGCGGCTTCTCTCCTCGCTTTCTCTCAGTACTTAGGTCAGTTAACGTCCATACCAGGATACCTGAATCCCTCCAGTAGGACCGAAATCCTGCATTTCATAGACAATGCAAAGGTAACCCCATCCCCCTGACCCTGACCTCTGACCCTCCCTCTGCTCCAGCTCCTAGCTCTGGCCTCTGACCCTCATACTGTGACACCAGCTCTTGGTCCTCTGACACTGGGCCTCCGTGGCCGTGAGCGATGGTCCTGTCCCGTCATGTTATGGGTGCGCTTGGCTCTTGGCCATAAAGACTGTTTCTATCCGAACATGAACTTTATTCTTCCTTGTGGCCTGGGGCTGTTTCTGGAAATCACGTTTCCAAGATAGGTAAAGCACACGCTGTAGTCTGAACCCAGGCAGCTCCAGAAGCCACAGAGCTCCTGGAGCAAGCGTGGCTATGCCGTAGGGAGAGTCCCAGCCTCTACACGCTGTGGGGCTCCCGGGGCCACGGCCGGGCCTGCACTTCTGATGCTGTGGTACCTTCCAGAGAGCCCACCAGCTCCCCGGACACCTGACCCAGGAGCACGACGCTGTGATCAGCCTGTCTGCCTACAATGTCAAGCTGGCCTGGCGGGACGGGGAAGACACCATCCTCAGGGTCCCCATCCATGACATCGCCGCCGTGTCCTACGTGAGGGACGACGCCTCGCACCTGGTGGTCCTGAAGACAGGTATGGACCTGGGAGGTGGGGCCAAGGGGTCCTTGTCGGGCGCAGCCCGCGGCCTGGTCCTTGGTAGTGAGTCTGGGAATCCGATGGAGCCCTGGAGATGGTGCCTCCAGCATCAGGTCGCTGCTCCGGCCCGCCCTGCTAGTTCTGAGGTCAGCCTTGGCCGGAGGTCAGTGACCCAAGAGGCCAGGAGAAAGAGGTGCTGAGCCGGCCCCTCTCCCTGGGGGTCCGTGGGCCTGCCCCTGTGCCTGGTGCTGCCCCTTCTGGGACGCTGGAGTGTCCTCTAGGTGTGCGGGCGTGGTACAGCCACGAAGTGCGCCTCAGCTCAGCCCTCCAAATATTTGGGCTCTGCCTTTGGCCATGGCTTCTCAAAGCTGGGTGCAGAGGTGAGATTGCACCGTCACGGAGCTCCTGGTCCTTGAGACGTTCTGCGCGTGTCCTTGTAGGAGTCAAGAGGGCCCTAAGGCCCGCCCCCAGGGGGTGGGCCCCCCGCCCCCTGCACCTAGCCCACCCCTCTTCTGGGGATGGGCGCCCAGTGTCGCCTGCTGGGCTCTCCCCATGGGGGGGCCTCCCCAGAGGCTGCAGCCTCTGCCTGGTACCCAGTCCCTGAGACATGAGGAAAAAGTCATGGTCTTGCTTGAGCTGTGCCCCTCGGGGAAATCTGAGGTTGGTGCCGCGGTACCGATGTCCTGGGCTCCTTTGGGTGCTCTGGGGGCCGGTGGGGTCCTGAAGCCATTCATTTCAAGGGGGTCTGGGGGCAGGGCCTGCGGGGGGCCAGGTGGTTCACCCAGAGCACACTTTAGGCAGTGCGGGCGGAACGTTGTTTTTCTGCCCGAGGTTGGCGGTTGGTGGGGCATCTGAGAGATTTTCTTAAGAGACCGGATCCTGGTGAGGGTTCTCACACATGCCCCTGAGCGTAGGCGGCTCTCGAGGACAGTCGGGAGGTTACCGCCATGAATCCAGGAGGCCTATTGTGGGGCCACCACACGGTACCTGCAGCGGCTTGTGGGGGGCTGCCCTGGGAGTGACAGACAGGCCCTCTGCTTGTGCGGCTGTGGCTTAGCACTCCTGCACACACTGCACATCACACACGTTCCCACCACACATTCACACCACACACTCCTACACACGTTCATACCACACACATTCACACCACATTCACACCATGCACATCCACACCACAGACATTCCCGCAGATACCACACACGTTCACACCACACATACCATGTTCACGTCACACACGTTCACACCAGACATGTTCACACCACACACTCATACACTACATATACTCGCACACACCAGACACGTTCATACGACACACACACACCAAACATATCACAGACACCTTACAGGTTCACACCACATACCCCACACATCAGGCACATTCATACTCACACCCCTGATCTGACACACTGTGCATCGAGGTCCCCTCTGTTATCTGCTTATTCTTGCCTTAGCTGAGCGTCTGATGTTTAATGATGGGCATTATTTCAGGTTGAATGATGCAAAACTTACCATACGTAACCATTTTAATTTATAAAAATGGCGGTTTGGTGTGGCTCAAACCAGTAGAACGTGTGGGCCCCGGATCATCTCATGCACTCTCCACATAAGCTGTGAGGAAGGTCCCGTTCTCCTGCTTCACAGATGAACCACCAGAGCACAGAGGTTGAGGGACTGGTGGAGGGCCGGGGGGGAGATGGGGGGGCTGGCTGGCCTAGGAAACGGCGCTGGAAGTGCTCCCGCCACTGCTGCCTGGTACCGCTGTGGCCGCCCGTTTCCCTGCCTGGAGACAGACAGTCCCGCGGGAGGCCCGAGGTCTGCGGCATCCTGAGGGACAACAAGCGGTGGGAAGACCGGCCTCTGAGCAGCACCTGCCAGTGTTGAGCCTGCTGGGTGGGCAGCCGGGCCCCCCCTGGTTTCTTGTGTTGCGGGACATTCATCTGCGTTCATCATTAGAGCCAATTGCTAGGAAATGGGGAATGGATTTTTCTAAAGGGAGAGAGCGAACTCCATAGGAGACACTTGGCAAAGTGAGACGAAAACTTGAGAGCTTTCGAGTTGAAGGAAGAGAATGAGTCCGTGTGTCCTAGGCATCTTCGTCATTTTAGCGGCTGGCCCTGCAGCGAAGGCCCAAGACTGTGAGCCTGCACGTCTGCGAGGCTCCTGTGTGCGCAAGGCGTGCTGTGTATGAGGCAGCTGACATTTGTTAAGTGCCTACCACGTGTAGCGCCCCTGGATGCCTCTTTGGGTCCAGGGTTCGCAGGTGCTGGGAGGGGTGCGTGGGGGTCACGTCTGGCTGCGGGGGCTTCCGCGCGTGGCAGGCCCGGCTCGGAGGGTGGGGGCCAGACGTCCAGGCTCACCGGGCTGGAGCGGACTGCACAGTCTTGTGGAGGGGTTTCCATGGATGTGTGAGTGCGGGTGGGGATCAGAGGCAGCAGCTGCGGGACGGCTGGTGGGGATGCTGCTGGCGGCCGGATGTGGGCTTGTCAGAGACCGCACACGCGCACTGGACCTGACTGTGGGGCCGCACACCCTGTGTCCCTGGGAACGGCCATGGAGCTACTTAGACTGTCCTTGTAGTCACAGCAGTGACAGCAAGCAAGGGAAATAGGTGTCCTTTGTGTCCCAGATGTGGTGCTGGCGTGTCACCAGTTCAATCATCGTTAAGACGTCACGTGTTCTTCTCCGTACTTCCCGAGACCCTGTGTGTTGTTCACACTCCGTGTGCACCACAGGGTGGACTTGTCACATTGGACATGTGCAGTGCCTGGTGCCGACGTGGGGCTGTGCAGCCCTGGGGTCTCACTGCGGCGTTTGTGGGTCTTGGCCCCGCATGGGGTGCTGCCCGCCCTACTGGGCCCCGGTCTCTGTGGGCACACGTGTCCCGACTGTGGCTCCTGCCTGGTTCCCGTGTCAGGCCACGTGTGAGTCTTGGGTGTCCTCTGTGGTGAGTTGAGCTTGCCCCCAGACACCCCAGCATCAGGGAGGCTCCACCTCCCATTCCTGCTCCCGGGCCACCCAACGGGGGCCTCCCCACTGCGTCTGCCCCAGGGCACCTTTGGGGAGGTGCTGTGTGGGGTGTTAGAAATGTGGGTGGGAGCGTGTGCGGGCCGGGCCCCCTCCTGGCCTCTGCTCCTCTCATGCCCTTGGGCCTGGCCCTTCCGGCCCCCGTGCCTCAGTTTCCCTGTCTCCTGTCGGAATTGTGTTCATGCCCATGGTTCAGTGATGCTGTGAATGGAACCCCGGGAATACCTTCTTCTGTGTGGATCCAAAGCAGCCGAATATCGGCAATTTCGTGTCTCAGCCTAAGGTGCTTGCGTCATCGGTTGCGGGGATGCCAGGAGGTCCTGCAGGGTGCTGATTCTCAGTGAGCAGCGGCCAAGCAACGGCCCAGGGTGAAGGCGTGTCTCACCTGTTCCCTGCTTTGTTTAGAGGGGGTGAGGGAGGGGCATACCCGAGGCAGGCCTATCCCTCACCTGAGCCAGGTAGGGGCTGCCCAGAGCCTGCTCTTGAGCTTCCACACCTGCCCTAACCTGCTGCAACGTTGCTTCCCAGCCCAGGACCCTGGCATCTCCCCCAGCCAGAGTCTGTGTGCAGAAAGTTCCAGAGGCCTCACCGCAGTCTCCCTGTCAGAGAGTGGAGTGGGGCCTGTGGAGGCGTGCTGCCTGGTCATCCTGGCGACCGAGAGCAAGGTGGGTAGAGGATGGGCCCTGGCACTCAGACCGGTCCCCACCAGGTCCCTGAGCCTCCTAGAGCTGGCCCAGGCCCCGCCCACAACCCAGGCCCCGCCCCAACCCCCAACCCAGACTCTGACCCCTCCCACACCCCAACCAGGCTCCTCCCAGATGCCCCCCACCCAGGCCCTGTCCACACCCTGACCCAGGCTTCTACACTCCTCCGACCCCGGGGGATCCTCACACACCCTGAGCAGGCTCTGCCCACACCCTGACCTAGACTCTTACCACGCTGCAACCTAGGGTCCACCCACACCCTGATCCAGATGCCGCTCATACCCCTGTCTAGACCCTGCCCACACCCTGACCCAGGCTCCTCCCACGTGCCGGCCCAGGCCCCTCCCACAACCTGCCCAGGTCCTACCTACATCCATGACCCAGGCCCCTCCCACATCCCAATCCAGGCTTCTCCCACATGCCGGCCCACGCCCTTCCCACAACCTGCCCTGGTCCCTCCCACAACCTGCCTACATCCATGACCCAGGCCCCTCCCACATCCCAATCCAGGCTCCTCCCACATGCCAGCACACTGCCCTGGTTAGGCTCCTGCCAGCTACACTGAGTCTGGTGCCTTCAGGCTGTGCTGCTTTTTTATTTCAGGGGCCTCACCCCTTTTTCTCTAAGACCGATGGGGGCAGTGGTCTCCCGTACCCCAAGCTGTGCCCTGAGAGGGGCGAGTGCGGGCTTGGGGCCCCCCAGGGCTGGCAGCCTAGGAGAGCTCTTTAGTAGTCATCAGTTTAGTTTATGTCTGTAAGACTAGTGGGGACCGCGGTGCCGCGGGAGCCTCTGATCAGTGCCCTTCCTCAGCTCTGCCCACCTTCCAGCCAGGCAGCTCTCAGGGGACTGTGTCCCTGGCCTGTCCCCACTGCAGGTCCCTCTAGACACCACCCCGTGACCGGGGGCAGAACTGCCCCCGGCGGGACCCACGCGCCTGTGAAGCTGTGTGCTCTCCCCGAGCTCCGGGCAGCAGAGGGGACCTGGGCAGCCCCGGGCAGCAGACGGGGGCTGGCGGCTGACGCACCTGGCCCCTCGGGTCCAGAGAGCCTTCTGGATGTGGGCTGGTCCCCTTGGGGACCCACTGAGAGGTGGGGGGCCCAGGGCCCGAGAAGCAGGTGCCCGGCAAGCCTCCCAGGAGGGTCCAGCTTTGTTGCAGGTCGCTGCTGAGGAGCTGTGCTCCCTGCTCGGGCAGGTCTTCCAGATTGTGTACACAGAGTCCACCATCGACTTTCTGGACCGAGCCATATTTGACGGGGCCTCGACACCCACCCACCACCTGTCTCTCCACAGCGGTACGTGGGCCTAGGCGAACAGCCATGCCGTCGGGCGTTGATCCGTGGCCTGACAAGGCAGCCAGGTCCCCCGCCTTGGCTAGCCTGGTGGCGTCCTGCATGACTGGGGGCCATGGAACGCTCTCTCAGCCAGTTGCTTCACTGACCTCTGAACAGAGGGCCAGGAGGGGCTCGGAGCACAGGGGGCTGGAGGGTGGGTATAGGGCAGGACCCCCAGGCCTTGCTGCTCTCGGGGTGAGGGCTTCTTCCAGGACCAAGGCTGCCTGGGTGATGGGCACTTGGAAGCCGCCACGTCCTCTGGTATCTGTGGAGCATTTTCAGGTGCGCTAGAGCACGGGACGGGCTTCACCTGCACACGGCTGGCTCACTATATCTGTGTTTTGCACACCAAGGGTGTCCATTGGTTCCCACTCCCAGGGATGCCCCTTGCTTGTCCCACCCGCCCCTCTCAGAGCTCACCAGCTGCACACAATGGTGTCCGTGTTCCTCATGATCTGCATCACACGGACCTGAGGTCATCTGTCCAGTGTTTCCCGAGGAGCTGCTGTGCACCAGGCTCTGCCGGTGTGAGGGTCTCAGGCCCCCGGGGGCCGCCTCTGTCCTCGGCGAGTAGCTGTCCCCGCATGGAGCTCCCTGGGTCCAGGCTGAGGGTCAGACCCACCTCTGATTGTGGCTTCTGCACCCCC